CAGATGGAGGGGACGGGGGGGGGGGGGCCAAAGGGGGGTGGGGGGGGAGGGAGAGGATGGGGAGCAGAGGAGGGGACAGGATGGGACAAAAGGGGATGGGATGGAAGGGATGGGACAAAAAGGGGCAGAGGGTTCAAGGATGGATGGGGTGAGATTGGGGAGGACAGGCAGGGAAAGGAGGGGACAATGGGAGGAGAGGGACAGAATGGGACAGAGGGGACGGGGAGAAATGGATGTGGCAAGGAGAGATGGAGGGAACGGGGAGGGGTTGGGGGAAATGGGGATAGGATGGGACGAAGGGTTGGCAAAGGGATCGCGACGGGGATCTCCAGGGCTCCGAATGGGATAAAAGGGATTTGGAGGGGATGAGGAGGGGTGGGAGAGGACAGAGAGGGATGGAGGGGAGGGGATGGGGATGGAGGGGACGCGGAGGGATGGCAGGGACAGAATGTGCCGGGCGGAACGCGGAGTGACGGGTGCGCTGAGGACGGACGGACCGAGGGGTCCCAACCCCCCCGGTTGGCGCCGCTCCCATCCCGAGGGGTTTCCCGTTCCCAGCGCCGTTCCGGAACCCCTCAGAACCGGGAGGGGGGGGGGGGGGTGAGGGGGGGGGGGGAGGGGGCGGCTCGATGTCCCCTCCCCGTCGTCCCGTCCCCGTTAAAAGGGAGGCGGAGGAGGGCAGAGCGCCGTCCCAGCGGCGTCCCATCGGTGTGCGATGCGCCGGGCGCTCCTGGCGCTGCTGCTCGGCACCGCCGCCCTCGGGGTCACCGCCGAACCCCACTGCCCCGTAACGGGAACCGCACCGCCACGGCGAGGGGGGGACACGGCCCCAAAGAGAGTGAAGGTGGGTGAGGGGGGGGGGGGGGACACAGCGGTGGGAACGGGGCGGGGGGACGTTGGGGCGCATGGCGTGGTGATGGGTGGCACCGGGATGGGGGCGCTGCTGTGGGGTCACCCAGGGGTGGGGGGCGCTCAGTGGAATAGGAGACGGGATGGGGAAGCACAGAGATTGGGGTGTTGGTGATGGGTGGCGATGGTTTGGGGTCACACGGTGATGGGGGACCCAGCTGAGGGGTGGCAGTGGGATAAGGGACGTTGGTATGGGGATGGGTTGGGTTGGCACAGCGACGGAGATGGGGGTGAGGGACACTGAAACGGATTGGTGTGGAGACAGGGGATGTTGGCATGTTGGTGGGGGGCACCAGGGTGGGCTGGCACAGCAATGGGGGACATCAGCACAGGGATGAGGGATGTTGGCATGGAGGTGGGTGACGACAGGCTGTCGCAGTGCCACCACTGGGGACCCCACCCCAACGCCCAGCCCTCTCCCCCCGCAGCGCTTCGCAGCGGTGCAGCGCCACGTGGAGCTGCTGGTGGTGGCCGATGCAGCCATGGCACAGTTCCATGGCACCGAGTTGCAGCCGTACCTCCTGACGGTGTTGGCTGCAGCTGCCAGGACCTTCCAGCACGGCAGCCTGGGTGCTGAGGTGCACCTGAAGGTGACGAGGCTCCTGGTTTTGGGACCCGGCGCCCCAGGGCCGCCCGTCACCTCCAACGCCGCCCAAACGCTGCGTGACTTCTGCCGGTGGCAGAAGGACCTCAATGTCCCCGACGAGGACAGTCCCCTCCATTTCGACGTCGCCGTCCTCTTCACCCGGCAGGTGGGGGGCGCAGGGCCATTTTGGGTCCCTCGGATCCCATCCCCATGAGTTGGGTGCTGGGTGGGATCCTCGGATGCCCGCTGAGGTTTTGGGGTGACGGTTGGGATGCCCACGAGTTTGTGGGTTCTGGTAGGGTGCTGCCCAACCCCACCGAAGCAGCAGGAGCCCGACGTGCCTCTGTGATGAGGGCTGGGTCCACTGGGTGCCCCGGGAGGTGGTTGGGTCCTTGGGGCACCCATGGGTGGTTGGGTGCTGGGAGGGGCCCCCAAATCCCATCCCAAAGCGTTGGGTGCTGGGTGGGATCCCTTATACACACACCAAGGCAGCTGGGTGCTGGTTGGGTCCCCCCAAACTCCATCCCAAGTAGTTGGGTGTGGGATCCCGCTGGGATTTTGGGATGCAGGCTGAGTCCTTGTGGTTCCTGTGGGATTTTGGGTGCTGGCAGGATCTCCAAGACCCACCTCAGGGAGTTTGGGTGCTGGGTGGGATCCCTGGGTGCCCATTGGCCTCTGGGTGGCAGCAGGAAACCCCAAACCCACCCTGATGCTGGGTAGGACCCCCATGACGACCACCAAGGTGCCCTCAGGATTTCAGGGTGCCCGCCGGGTTCTTGGGGCACCGATGGGTGTCAGGGTGCCCTGAGCCGCCCCTCAGCCCCGTGCTCCCCCCCCAGGACCTGTGTGGGGCGGCCACGTGCGACACGCTGGGGATGGCTGACGTGGGCACCGCCTGCGACCCCGAGCGGAGCTGTGCCATCGTGGAGGACGATGGGCTGCAGTCGGCTTTCACAGTTGCACACGAGCTGGGTGAGCATCCAAAGGAGACGAATGCAAGGCCCTGCCCCCCAAAATCCCCCCCAGTTTGCCCTAAACATCCCCAAAATGGCAACGCTCGCGTTGTGGCACGGCTCACATCTTCAGCACACACAGCTCTGTCCCCCAAAACGTTGCCCCAAACCTTCAGATGTGCTGAAATTCTTCCCCACATCAACCCCCAAAAGGTGCCCTAAAACCTTCCCAAAATATCCCCAAAATGTGCCCCAAATGCAGCCAGCGCATCCCTGCTGCTCACCCCCTGCTGCAGGTCACGTCTTCAGCACGTGTGGCCCTGTCCTCAAAATGACCCCAAAATGTCCCCAGATGTCTCCTAAATCACCCCAAACATCCCCAAAACATCCCCCCCAAAAAAGATCCTCGAAGGCTCCCTAAAACACCCCTCAAAGCTCCCCAGGATGCGCTCGAGACATCCCCTAAACCAGCCCCAAAATGTCCCCTGGAAAATCCCCCCCACAGGTCCCCAAACCTCTCCAAACTTCGCTCCACACATCCCCCACCCCACCTCCAAAACGTCCTGCAAAAAGGCCCTCAAAGCGTCCCCAAGTCTCCGCAGCCCCACGACCTCCCCAAAATCTCAAGGCACCCTGCAGTCGCTCCCCACCTCCGGCACCCACAGCCCCCAATAGGGCGCCCCAAAGACCCCCGGCCGCCCCCCTTCTGACCCCGTTCCTCCCCAGGCCACGTTCTCAGCATGCCGCACGACGACTCGCAGCGCTGCGTGGAGCTCAACGGCCCCGCCGGCTCCTCGCGCCGCGTGATGGCGCCGGTGCTGGGTTCGGTGCCGCCGGGCGAGATGTGGTCCCCGTGCAGCGCCCGCTTCCTCACCGACTTCCTGGACGACGGCCACGGTACGGCCTCACCTCGTCCCCGTCGCTCTGGGGACGTCCGCTCGGCTCTGCCCCGTCCCCGCTGCGGGGCTCAGCGCCGCCTCCTCCTCGCAGGTCGCTGCCTTTCGGACAAACCCACCGAGTGGCTCCGGCTGCCGGCGGCGCTGCCCGGCGCGGTGTATCCGGCGGATCGGCAATGCCAGCTGGCGTTCGGCCCCGAGTCGCGGCACTGCGGGGACGTGCGGCCGCCCTGCGCCGCTCTGTGGTGCAGCGGCCTCGTCGGAGGGAGAGCGGTTTGCCAAAGCAAGCATTTCCCGTGGGCTGACGGCACGCCGTGCGCGCCGGGACGGGCGTGCGCCAGCGGGGAGTGCGTGGACACGGGCACCATGGAGCGGCTGCGGGTGAGCGCTGCGGGTCAGCTCGGAGTCGGAGCTCGGCGGTGCGGTTTTGCCCCGCGGGTCGCTGCCGGGGGGTCCCGGCGTTGGGCGCAGGGGGTGATTTTTCCTTGCGGAACCCACGGTTTGACCCCAGCGTGGGGCTCGTGGGGGGGTTTTCCCCTAGAAGCTGCGGGCAGATCGCGGCGTTGGGTTCACGGCCTGCTTTTCCCCATGGATAAACCCTGGTGTTGGGGGCGTGGGGCGGTTTTTCCTACAGATCCCCACAGACGGACCCCAGTTTGGGTATTTTTGGTGTTTTTTCCCCACGGATGGGTCCCGGTGTCGGGTTCACAGCGTGCTTTTCCCCATAGCTCCCCATAGGTGGGTGCCGGTGTCGGGTTCACGATGTTTCTCCCCATGGATGCCCACGGATGGATCCCGGCGTTGAGTTCACGGTGTTTCTCCCCCCAGATCCCCGTGGACGGCGCCTGGGGGCCGTGGGCTCCGTGGAGCGCCTGTTCCCGCAGCTGCGGCGGCGGCGTCAGCTCCTCGCACCGCTTCTGCTCCCGGCCCGCGCCGCTCAACGGCGGCCGCTTCTGCCGCGGGGAGCGACTCCGCTTCCGCTCCTGCAAGGCGCAGGATTGCCCCGGCCGCAGCGGTGAGTGGCGCCGAGCGGCGGGGCGCAGCGCGGAGCTCCGGGCCGCCCGCGGTCCCTAACGCGTCCCGTTCGCCCCCAGCCCCCGCCGCGTTCCGGGAGGAGCAATGCGCAGCCTACAACCACCGCGTCGTTTCGGCGGCGCTGCCGGCGGTGGCCGATTGGGAGCCTCGGTACGGCGGCGTGGCCGAGGAGGACCGCTGCAAACTGACGTGCCAGTCCCGCAGCCTGGGCGTTTACCACGTGCTGCGGCCGCGGGTGAGTTTCCCCCCTGCGGTCCCTTCCGCCCCGCGGTGCCGCTCCGTGCCGACGCCGCGCCGCTCCGTGCCGCAGGTCGCGGACGGGACGCCGTGCTCGGCGGAGGGCGGCGGCGTTTGCGTCAGGGGCCGCTGCGTCCCCACCGGCTGCGACCGCGTCATCGGCTCCAAGAAGAAGTTCGACAAATGCATGCGGTGCGGCGGCGACGGCTCCGGCTGCACCAAGGTGTCCGGCTCCTTCGCCGCGCCCCGGTGAGCGCGCAGGGCGTGGGGGCACCCATGGGTGCGCGGGGCCCCTCCGACCCCGCAGAAGCCCCCGTTGCTCCTTCCAGCCCCGCGTCTGCGCCCTCCTCACAACTCCCCACCCTCTCCATCTCTTCTCCTGTCCCCCGCCA